TGGTGGGGGGGGGGGGTTAGATAGTCAGTACGACTGAACTAAGACCATTTTCCCACTAGGATAAAATTGTCCGGATCGAGCCGAACAGATTTTTTTTCATCAATACACAACAAAAAAATAGCAGTACGTATAGTATAGTATACGTATACGCTGTACTCAAATTTACAACTTCTTTGAACAGTACCCACACAATAAGATACACACAAGCCGAATACTAGTAGACTGGCCATCGGCTTCGGTCCGGTCAACTTTCCCCTGGTGGGAACGATCCCGATCCGGCTCGGTTCGGCTTGATTCGAACCAGCAACCATCCACCTCGCGAGGTGGACAATTTTAACCTATTGTGAAATGGGCCTTATTCACAAGTGATGACGATTTGCCACAACCTCATACACACAAAATGACCGGAAATAGTCCACCCTCAGGCCCTAACCCTACTCATACATTTTCTTCTTCCAATGCGTACTGTATGGTACTCGTACATCCCGTAACAATGACAGACCTTCTACAGCACTAACCCTCCGTCCCAGAGGACCTTTTGTGGACAAATGTTGCTAGGGTGAAGAAGGATGGACATAGCCAGCAAATCTGGGTCAACACAAGCATGTCCCACAGAAGCGTCATACGTGACTGAACATGGGGTGGGATATACCAGTAACCCTAGGCATTCCTTCTGTCCAAACCGGTTGGGTGTGTCAGAAATGAATACAGAACATGCAAATGAATCAGAACAGAGAAGCGATGGAGGTACATCTTGGAAATCCACGCCATGTGACGCCATGTCACAACTGAAAGTCTGACATTTGTTTTTTATTTGTCATGATGATAACGTCAACCATTTGATATTCTTCAAGAGGATGAGTGTGGCCTCCCCGGAAAAGTTAACTGTGTCGGTGCAGGTAGACTGCATCCTGGACTGTCTACCCCAGTTCTGCCTGCGTCCCAAATGTCGTCTGAAATCTTTGGCCGTCTCCTGCTTGGCGCTCGGCGTGCTGGGGTCGTGTTTAGTCCTGACTGTCTACTCCAATGATGTCAATGTGTAAGTAAACTGGTCTGTTTTTTTAATTCACACTCACACAGTTACATGAGGCAAGAAAAAAAGGTTGAGAGAGAGATATTATCAAGATACCTGTAGCTACGCAAGGCTAGTAGGCTAATATTCCAGGTTTACCTTGATAAACGAGACAAAACATGAACATATGTATGCAGATGTGCACTTCATGTTGTTTACGCCACCTCTGTACAGTTAACGAATGTTCAAACCTCTTGTTTTTCTCTTAAGATTTCAAAATCAGTTGTTACAGAAAAAAAACTAGTAGTATACGAACTGAAATCATTCCAATGCTGTTAAGTGGCGGTAATTTTTCGCCATCTTCGTGGTGAAATATTGACCAATGACTGTAACAAAAACGTCACCGAACCGTAGGCTCTTAAAGCCCGTTATGTAGTTGCAAAAATTGAGCCACAAATCCCAGGGGAGATTTCCTTGTTGCAGACAATTTGGAATCTGGGTCAAACGACTTAACTATACTCAGGGCGGCCGCTTATATCGTGCTTGCTGTTTCTTTGAACACGTTGTTCTGAAGAGAAGGTTCAGGTCAATAAAGACAGCCGATCGTGTGAAAGATGAAGTAGGAAGAATGACTGAATGAGTTCACTGAATGACTACATGAATTCATGACATGCAGTGACTCATTGAGGTAAAGAAAACAAACAAACATTCTGTAGCATATGATTTTATCAACAGTAAAACACACGTTTTGTTTGTTTTATTTTCTAACGTAGGATACCATCGAAGCGAGCCGAATTTGGAGCAATATTTGGTGCATCCTGGAGTGCAACAAGGTGAACACTAGCTTACTAGTTAGCTTTCCGCAAATGTAAGAATTGTCACAGATTTTTTCTTCAACACCTGCATACATGGGTACTGAAAAGACACTATCTGGCTATTTTAGCAAACAGGTGTAGTAACATGTCGTTTTCTTTCTTTACATGTAGTTCAGAAGCGACACCAAGCGAAAGATATGAAGAACAACAGGAACACAATTCTTTTGCTACAGGGAAGGACTGGCAAATGAACAAGACGGCACTGTTACACTTGAGGTGTGGGAAGTATGGTGTGTGTGTGTGTGGGGGGGGAGGGGGGTGGCTAAATGTCGTTCTCGATTTATAATCAAAATATTTTCATGGTTATTGTTATCCTTCATAGTACGCGGTTGCTTGCCACAATATTTAACATTACGATACTTGCGACTTTCTATTTTTGCTTGTCATCTTATGCTTCTTCTGGCGAAGCTTACAGAGATTTCTTCATATAGATTGTTCAATATTATCATCACACACAGATATCTAACCTCCTTTCACGGATACAGATGAAATTTTGATAATTGGTTGTTCTGCACCAATAGGCAACATCTTGACCCGTTACAAACGGCCAAGACATTTGTACTTAGCCAAGAGGACTCCGCCAAGAAAAGGAGAGTCCCGTTCCTGTTCAGACCCGGACCCAAAGACTCACTGTACATGAAAGACGACATGTACTACAGTCTGCCAAAGGTAAGAATACGCTCAGGGAAACTGTTAGATTAACTACGTACTTTTTTTTATTCCAACATATAATCACCAGACGTGGTGACGGCACACTCAAGTTTTATCAAATTATATTAATGCCGTCACCAACACAGGAGACAATACATGACAGGACAATACTCATTTCCACCTGAGTTAAGTGAGAAAAGTCGTGTAAAGTGCCTTTTCCAAGGGCACAAGATCGGTGACATGTCAGGACTCGAACCCGGGACCTCTAGGTTCCGAGTCGCGCACTCTGCCGCTACGCCACACGACCCCACAAACTACGTACTTCTTACCATCAACACTACGCTAGTTCAGCAACAAATGTTGGATGGTGCAAAATACGTGTGCCGAACAATGCAAGCTCATATTAGCATAAAAGTTAAGCTGAGTTGGTAAAATACATGAAGAAAATCAAACTCCATGTCAAAAAAAAAATTCACTCACCAGAAATTTTCGACTGAATCGCTCAGTCTTCATCAGCTTTATGACCCAAGTTCCAACATTTATTACAAGACATGGCGACGGCACACAAAAGTTTTTGCGACTTATTTTTATGCCGCCACCAACGCAGACAAACGCATGAACGGACAACAGATATACTCATTTTCACCTGAGTAAAGTGAGGAAATTCGTGTAAATCGTTTTTCCGAAAGGCACAAGATCGGTGTCATGGCAGGATTCAAACTCCGGACCTCTTGGTTTCGAGCCGAACGCTCCATCGTTACGTCACACGATCCCATGCATATCCGTCCGTTAGTTCTCACGGTTCTATCTCTATCAAATCTAGGTCAGTCCCTTCAGTGGTCGGTCGCTAGGCGTGTGCAGTTTGGTTGGCAACGGCGGCATCTTGACTGGAAGCAACTGCGGTGACCAAATAGATTCTAGTGATTTCGTGATCAGGTAAGTTTACTGTATGGTTATCGATGAGTTTTACATGATAAAATGATGCTCATAAATAGTTTAGACGGAAATGTTAAGAGAAGGTAAAAAGAATTCTTGAATTAAGATGATTTGTTTGGTTTGGTCTTCCTTTAATGCTCACGATCATGATAATGATCATTCTGGCATACTCATTTTCACTTGACCCAATGGCACAAGATAAGTGACTTGGTAGGATTCGAACTCTTGGTTCTGAGCCGAATACTCTGCCGTCACGCCACGCAACCCCACTTTAATACATATTTGCAATTTATATAATAGGTTCAACATGGCACCAGTGTGCCCGCCATACCTGGACGACATCGGCAGACGTACGGATTTCGTCACAACCAGTCGAGACAGGATGAAGTCCAAGTACGTTTGTCCTTGTGCTCTGTACTTTGTTCTTGTACTACTTGAGGCTAGAGATGCGCCATGATTCTTCAAGTGGTGCTAGAGCATTAACGTAAAAGGGGACAGTCGATGTCATTTTGTCTCCATGAAAGAAGATATGATGCTTCCAGTGTTATCGTCATGTATTATTGTCCTGTACTTCTAGGTTCGACTCCCTGAAGTCCCATAAAGGACGTGAGAAGTTCGTGCACCACCTGCACGATCAGTACGGACAGGACACCTACATCGTGTCGGCTCCATTTACTATCAAGAGCAACGTACGTTCTCTTACGTTATTGCAATGCACATGTGGTATTACACCTGGCTGTGTTTCCCTGTCCCTGGTGCTGACTGTGTTTCCCTGTCCTTGGTGCTGACTGTGTTTCCCTGTCCCTGGTACTGACCGTGTTTCCCTGTCCCTGGTGCTGACCGTGTTTCCCTGTCCCTGGTGCTGACTGTGTTTCCCTGTCCCTGGTGCTGACTGTGTTTCCCTGTCCCTGGTGCTGACTGTGTTTCCCTGTCCCTGGTGCTGACTGTGTTTCCCTGTCCCTGGTGCTGACTGTGTTTCCCTGTCCCTGGTGCTGACTGTGTTCCCCTGTCCCTGGTGTTGACTGTGTTACCCTGTCCATGGTGCTGACTGTGTTTCCCTGTCCTTGGTGCTGACTGTGTTTCCCTGTCCCTGGTGCTGAGTGTGTTCCCCTGTCCCTGGTGTTGACTGTGTTACCCTGTCCCTGGTACTGACTGTGTTTCCCTGCCCCTAGTGCTGATAGTGTTTCCCTCGCCTGTGTGTTTGCAGTGTTCCCTTTCTTTTGTGCTGATTGTGTTTCCCTGTCCTTGGCTCGGACAGTAACTAGCCCACTTGTGTTGACAGCTCGGGTCCTTACTGGAGATTCCTGAGGTGTTGAGGTCTCACAACTCCTCCGCGGTCCCTCTGTTCATCAACCCTTCCCATGCCGAGAAGATGCTGCACGTCTGGAGAAAACTCGGGCTTCAACTGCCCGACGGAGAAACTAATTTCTCTTCAGGTATATTACGCATATACGAATATTGCCACCAAAAAGAAGATGCGTCTGCCAATATTAGTAGATAGCCTATAGACCGTAAATATGTCTTTGAGATGGTTGCAAATTTTCAAAGAAAAGCGCTAGCACAGTCCAATATCATAAAAACGTGTAATTTCTGTTGGACCAGATGGATGGATACTTAACGTTAGACCATTTGGTACGTGAAAGACTGGGAACGAATGCAAGAACGAATGCAAGTGCTATTCTAGAAAGTAATAAAAATGAAGATACTAGTATCCTAGCATTTCTTTTGCTAGCTAGATGACTGAAACTTCTAAATGCCTCAATCCTCTTCGTCTCTGCTTGACTTTTAGGATTCTACTATGCGTCCGTCGCCCTGGAGCTGTGTGACCAGGTCAACATGTACGGGTTCTGGCCGTTCAATGAGGACAGGGAGGGCCGACCCGTCCGCTATCACTACTACAAGTCCGTGGACATGGGAGGACTCAGTAACCACTGGCACGCCATGGACAAGGAGTTCGAGAAACTACTAGAACTCCACAACAGTGGCGTCTTACAGTTAATAAGTGGGAACTGTAGATAGCAGGGATCAGTGTCAATTATGCACTGGATTTGACAGCGAGCTTATCATTAAATTATTGATCTCTAATTACTGCAGTTTGATAAAATTCTGGTGCTAAAGCAATACGATTTTCCTGACCAATGATATTGAATTAATGATAAAGCAGCGTTTTTCTGTGGTTTATGAATATCTTCTAAGTTCAAACTTCTCAATGACATATATTCTCAATATCCATATGCAAGGACCGACCAGAGTTTTGTGGTTGTATACTGTCTTTATTTTCTTTATTTAGATACTCTTTACGCAAATGGCTAGTCTTACAGGGTTTAAGCAGATAACATGGAAAAGGAACACACATAATGGCACGTAATGAAATTTACATTATTTACAAACGAAGGGAACGGAATGGCTTCTTTATATTTAGGTAGATGGACTTGGAAGGTTTGATATGTTGTGGTAAGTTGCTCCAAAGGTTGACTGCCCGGTACAGAAATGTTTTTTTGTGTTATGGAACGTTACTTGCAGGAAAAAAGTGTGATCTGGAATTTTGTGCCACATACACTTTCTGATATGAAAATAAAGGAATGGACAATCGGGGAATTGACGCGTGTTGTCTTATGAACAGTAACGTTAACGTTACTCATATTTCAAATCGGTGGTGTTTGCACAGGCGACTTCGTATACCTGTGAGAACGCAGGCCACCAGACTCTTACGATGCGAAAAGAAAGACGAATATTCTGTAATTGTGTAAAGAAACCTCAAGGACGACGATGAGGAGTTTGAATGAATTCTTTTATGAAAGTTCCGGATTCTGATCTGGTTCCAAAGGATCGATGTCTGTCTCTGTCCCTAGCCCCTGTCCTTAGTGCTGAACGATCTTTCCTGTTCTCTCACCAAAGAGCGCAGGCAGCCAGGTACTAATCTCCAAGCAGATCCTAGGGTGGAAAAAAGACAGAATTAAATTGGCCAGGCAGTATCCATTGGCAAGAGAGGGTCCAGTTGGCCTCCCAAGGGGGTAGCGACAAAAAACGGGCCATAAAGTTATAAAAAGGTTTAATACGATCTTCTCCCATCAACCTCCGCCTGGCAGGCCTCCACTCGTTACAACTTACAGTGCTTCACGTCTCCGCGTTTTCTATTCTTTCAATGTGTATTCTAAGGCTGTGCATGTTTGTCCGTCTGGTTTTAGACATGAACGAATAGAACCAGAAACGTGACAGGAAACACAAAATCCGGCTATGATCAGATGACGTGTAACGCCACCTGGCGCGCGGAACCACTTTGCTCAAACCATTATGTTTAGGGATGGTGGATCTTTATATAACGTAAGATAGCGATCCATGATAAAAATCGCTATAAGGTATCAATCTTTGTATACTAAATAAATATATAAATTCCTAATACAGTGTTTTTACTGGCGTTAATTTCTGAATCTTTCTCTTTGGTATAGTAATAAAAAGTGCTAACTGAAAAAATCATACCCGTGAAAGCAATAGAATGTTCCAACATGGCGACCCGCGGCAGATCATCGAACCACATCGTCACCGGTGAACAAAACGGGAAGTTTGTTGCCCCAAAATACTCCTCCAGAACGGTTGCTTGGCTCAGGAAGGAGCTCAGGGCCCGGGGACTCTCCACAACTGGGCTAAAAGTTGATCTGGTGAGTGTGGATAGTATAATATGTGAGTTTATTATGGAAGAGGGTGTGCATGTGTGACTGCGAGCGTTCACCACTTGGTTCATTCATATTTATCACGACATGCACACAAAAAATGATATGGTTATCATGCGTTATCACAGACGAAGAAAGCCGGATTCTCACTACTAGTCATTCCAGTTTGTTTGTCAGAGATGTCATTGATATCTTACCGATATTGTATGCCGGTAAACGAACGAATTGGATAAGTGACAGACAACCAAAATCCCGTTTTTATTTTCGAGATTGTGAATTTGATCATGTGCACATAATTATTTGCGTCGAACAAATTTTCCTGATAATTTTATCTACAAGATCTTTGCGCAGATCATAGAATCGACAATAAAGATCGTGTAAGTTCTCTGAAATTGTTTTTTTTTAAAGCTAGTACATTTTTGTAATTGTAGTGATCTTTTAATAGTTTTATACTTTATGGGGGGGGGGGTAATACATATGTATGTGCCCAAATTATACAAATTATAGGATGAGATCATATCTTTCCCATTGTTGTAGATCCTTAATTTTTTTGCTGTTGATAGTGTATGGCAGCAACTACATGTATTCTGTTGTCAGGAAGCGAGATATACTTGGTATTGGTGTGTTTCCTAAAGTTCAAAGTTCACGAAGACAACCCATGTAACTAGGTCATAGTTTAAAATGGGCCACTGTGCAAACAATCCCAGTGTCACCTATAGCTAGAGGTGTTCCCTTTTCTGGTGTGCCAGTTCTACAATAATAGATTAACTACTGTAGTTAAGCAGGCTTATAAACATATATGTTTATCATGGGCCAGGGTTCTACATGTACAATATGTACTGGTACATGTAGTTGCACGAACCAAAGGTAAGAAAACTATTTACTAAACACTATAGCTGTATTTATATATATACTGGAAAAACCTATTCTGTAAATCTGTTATCTGTAAATCTGTGTGATATAGAACAGTTTCTCACCCTAGCCTGCTGTAATAACATTACTTAGTACTTATTATGGGACCAGGAGTGAATTATTTACTGATTCCTGTGTGGAATTTTAAGTATAATTGGGGAGGTCGAAGTACAGGGTGGATATCGATCAGTGAGTCATACTGTATGGTATGTGGTACCAGTCTCCAATCTGTGAAAGAGAACTATTTACTTTGGGTGTTGAATTTCTGTTGTATGTTTTTCTGGCAGCTGTCCCCTGTCCCCTATATGACTTAACAATTCTTTTTCTGCACTTTACATTATGTGTATCTATCATTATCAACATAAATGCAAAAGTCAGAATAATGGCTTGGACTACGTTTAGTTAATCAGTACTCTGGTATTTGGACTTGAACCAAAAGATTAGGTCTGGTCCAATGTTTCGGACCAATTTGAAATTTTATGTCACTCGTTGGCGGTCGACCACAAGAAAATCGCTAGGGTCAGGGGTTTTTGCTAGGGTCGGTCGGGTAACTGGAAACACAATATTTTTTTCCTATGCGTGACCAATAATTCCTCGCCTCTACTACTAGTAGTCCATGGGTCGGACTAGATTTTGGTACCAAATCGAGGGACAAAACGTGGATGCCTTCATGTGATAGTTCTTCTCAAGAACTTTCCAAAAATGTATGATAACTGTGATAAGTGCGTAGCTTTGACTTTGCTATGTGATCTTGAAGTTTGACCCCATATAGACCATGGCCTTTCTACCTTAGACCCTAGTTCCTTCTGTACCTGATGGCACATCAGGCAGCAAGCTTCCACTGCCTTTTATCAGTCGCTACTTCCTCTCTGGGGATGTTTGCCCTTCCCAGAATCAGATCTACTTGGAAGGTGTCTACTTATAATGCATTTTATACCACTTGATGTATACATGTAGGTGGCAAGGCTTGAGGAAGCGGATAAGAGCATGTCCCACACAGTGAACGACGTCCATGTCAGGAGAGGACAACTTGTGGACGGGGAGGCCGTCAAGTCTCAGGAGGAAATCGTCACAAACGCAGGGAGTGAAAAGAGCAGGTAAGGCCACACCAATTTTATTTGTTGGTTCTCAGATTTTTTCAGGAAATAAATGAATTGAGAGGGCAGATCTAGGCATCCTATGATATATGTTGCAGCAATACTTTGTTACCTTGCAGTTGTACAATTTTTGTGTAATGCAGCTATATATCAAACCTACTATAAGACTGATCACTATGCAGTATGTACCTTACTAAGACTATGTAGTATGGAATGATCAGGAGAATGTACTTTTACAGTCAGCGGTTGAATGGGCTGTCACATGTTAATATGTACAGGTGTTCTTAAATTTGAATCCATTGATAGAAATCCTGGTATCTAGTATGGAATATGATGGACTTCCATATAGTACATAATTTTTATCAATATATTTGGGACATATAATCAGGAATTCAAAGCATGTTCAAATGACCTTATTTCAAAGTGTTGATAATAGAGTCATTGACTTTCAATGACAGATCACATTATGTAAGAAGTATGCATCAAAACTTTCTCTACTTCCTTCCCTACAAGGACTGCTAAGGAAGAAGCGGCCCTGAAACATCAGCGAGAGATGGAGAGACGAGAGCGAGAACAGATCGTCCTATGGAGAAAACCTTTGACAACCTTACAGTACTTTACCCTGGAGACTGCCATACTGTTCCATGGGTATCTCATCAGGTAAGGGAAAGATGAGGGCAGAGAGGCTTGTTGTTTTCAGAGATCTTTTCGTTACATGACCTCCTTGACAGCTGGTGTTGTTACCCTTGCACAACCTTACTGTACTTCACCCTGGAGACTGCCATACTGTTCCATGGGTATCTCATTAGGTAAGGCAAAGATGAGGGCAGAAAGGCTTCCTGTTGTCACAGATTTTTTCATTACAATAATTTACATGACCTCCTTGACAGCTGACAGCTGGTGTTGTTTCCCTTGTACAATAAAGAAAGACTTGTCCTTGCAGACACCAGTATACATTAATGTTAAAGGGTCTGCATGGGAGCAGCATTTACAGATTGGATTGATTCTGTTTGTTACCCAACTTATGTAAAGTAATTACATGGTTACTAGTGTATGTTAAGAAATCATCAGGAATATTGTTTCCATGCGGCCACAGGTAATGGTTTTATTGAATTCACTGTTGTTGTTCCAGGCTGTGGGAGAACAAAGGAAAGGTGCTGATCAGTGTCCTCCTGACTTTGTTACTTGTCTGGCTGTACCATACTCCTGGGGCTCACCAACAGGTAAATACCATCATTGGAAAAAAAGTACTGTTGATTGTGAAATATTTGCTGTGGTTTTATTTTCACAGTTTTTGCAGTGTCTTCTTGACGCAAAACGATGACACCATAATATATGTTTTGTATTGTATTACAGAATTGTTTCAACTGTGAAATTGGTTGGTATACTAAGATTGTTTACCCCCCCCCCTCAGTATGTAGTATTGATGGAGAAGAAGCTCCACTGGTGTGCGTACTGGGTCTTCCTGGGTATCCTGTCTTCAGTAGGGCTGGGCACAGGTCTACACACCTTCCTACTATATCTGGTAAGTACTCTACAGCTGTACAAACAAACAAATCTTTTCAAGTATGATGTTTTTAAAACTCAACATTTCTTGAAAATATGAGAGGGATCGTAAGCTGAACTGAATCTGTCATCATTGATCAAGTCTGATCTTTGTTCATCATTCAATAAACAAACAAACAAACAAACAATATTTTCAAGTTTGATGTTTTTAAAAGTATAGACATTTCATAAAATATGATCTTAGGCTAAAATGAATTTGCCCTCAATGTTCAAGTCTGATCTTTGTTGTTTTTTCCCCAGGGTCCTCACATAGCCCAGGTAACCATGGCTGCGTATGAGTGTTACTCAGTCGACTTCCCAGAACCGCCATATCCAGACCAGTAAGTGAAGAATTCTCTTAAGCTTCAATACTATACACACAAACACTGATTTATGAATTTCTACTACGATGCTTAACTTTATTTCAACACAAGGGTACGCAAGGCTTTTCATTTTTTCAACAGCCACTGTCACTTTCATCATGGTAATTAATGACCAATCACTTCTGAACGTAAAGCTGCAAGAGTTACAGTTAAAAACACATGACCTTATTCACACGAGACGTTATTTAACGTTTACAAATAATTTTGAATTCCTGTAGAGGTTACACCTGTCACGTGAGAGTAGGAAAAAGGAGATCAAACTAAAAAAAGCAATGTAAAGAAATGACAAAGTTAGAATTGTTGTATACTGAAACATGACTTTGCTCCCTTCTGTAGAATCATCTGTCCAGATGAGACAGAGGGAACACCCAGTATATGGGCCATCATTGCAAAGGTTCGACTGGAGGCCTGTATGTGGGTTAGTATATGTCTCTATGTCTATGGTAGTTTATAACACAAGAACATCACTTGCTGAGAAGCTAATCTTCTACCAGTCAGATCATGACAAGTACGCAGTCCTTTATAAATGCATAGACTAAGATCATGGATTTACAAAACATTACAGATACCAGTAGCATGTGAGTTAGGTGAGCTGTCAAAAGAAAATTTTGAAATCTTGACCCCAAACACTATTTCATTGCATTTTGAGAGGCAAATTTTGCTGGTGGACTAAGCATAGTTTAATGACATCTATTTCCATATCTTTACATGCCGATTTTTGTCCATGAAAGATGACAAAATTTGGCAAAATTTCTGTCCATCCTGGGCGGCAAAATTCCATCAAATGATGGAAAGATGGATGCTGGCTAGAACAAGTTGAGTCTCAGTTTCTGATTGTTCTTTCCATTTGATGTTGACAGGGTATAGGAACAGCCATTGGTGAGCTCCCGCCATATTTCATGGCCAAAGCGGCGCGGTTATCTGGAGATGACCTGGATGAGTTTGATGATGATGAGTTGGAGGAGTTTGAGGAGGTCCAACATGCCAGGGAAGCTGGAAACCTCGCCCAGCAGGTGTGTGGGTTTTTTTTATGTTCCATTTGTTATATATATATATATATGTCTCTATGTGTTTATGTGTGTGTGTTACTGATATATGTGTTTGTTTTTTTATACATGTGTGTGTATGATTTGTAAATTGAGATAAACTGAACTATATATCTAGATACTACCACTACAGTAAATACATGTATATGAACTATTGCTATCATGAACGTTCATCTGTGTTGGTAGTTACATGTTTATTCCTTGTGGTCAAAAGCCCAATTTTTCGTTCTGGGTACACTTAAAGTTTTGGTCCAACAAAGAGAAATTCTCTCACCTAAAGCTTTTGACCAGTCACTCTGGTCTTCCTCAGTAGACTGACCCTGTGAAGCTTGTCACGTGGCTTCTTTGAAGTGTGATGTCAACACTGGGTCAAAGGTATCTGGTAGACGATGTCGGCCCCTGTCATGGTTGAGTGAAGGGTGATTGGCCCTTATGTAAATACCCTTTTATGATATAAGGTCATGGTCAATTTAGGAGTACAGTAACTATTACAATCAACAGTATGAATTTGTTCAACAGGGCTTGAAATATCCACCAATTGCAACCTCCAATTCACAGAAAAATTGGGAAGATTGCAGCCAGAAATATGAGCAACTTCAGGCTCAGTATTATTCACCACATTTTAGCTTAGTATATGTAACTCAAGCCTAAACCACTAGCACATGACCATAGCCTAAACCACTAGTACAGGTAGAAGTGTAGCCTAAACTGCTACTACATTAACAAAGTAACAGTTACAAAGCTGTGATGCACAAATGTACCTGCATATCAGATGAGGTGTCTTCAGACAGAGAAGGCTTTAGTAGGGCTTACATGTAAATAAATATGTAAAAAAATCATGTTTGCAGAAAGATTTAGTTTTTTGCATTGCAGGAAAATTTGACAACTTACAACAGAAACCAAGGCCCATTCAATGGTTGATTTTTGTTCATTTTTGTTTTTGCAGGCCTGGAGCACAAGAGTTAAAGTTGCTGTCACCAAGCTGGTGGAGAGAGTCGGCTTTGTGGGCATCCTGGCCATGGCTTCGGTAGGATTTTCATCTCTGTTTCTATGAAATATTCTTGTCCAAGAACACAACACAACTGTTTGGTCCTATTTTGCCACCATATCCTTTTTATTTGGCTGACCGAGCTAGCCCTGTGTCCAGACCTATTCTAGCTCCCAAGTCTATATCCTCTCTGCAAATATATTTGCTGAGAGAGGATATATTCAGCACACCAGACCTATTGTAGCTCCAGACCTATTCTCTGGAGCTACAATAGGTCTGGTAACCAAGCTAGACGAAGCTGCTTTGTGAAAACCCCTTTCATACCCTCAGTGAATGCTGTGATTTCCCCCTACAGATCCCCAACCCCCTGTTTGACCTGGCTGGAGTGACCTGTGGTTATCTGCTGGTTCCCTTCTGGACTTTCTTCGGTGCTACCTGTATTGGCAAGGCTGTCATCAAGATGCACATACAGGTAGGTTAGACGTTCTTAAAGGAATCAAGTTTCTTAAGGTGTCTGCTGGTCAAAGGATGTACATGTTATGTAGTACAATCATGCGACATTAATTAGTAACCATGTAAACATGGGAGTCTGCCTCCATTGAAGTCAGTGACATCACAAAATGTTGTGCTCAGAATTTAATGATGTCACTGAGTTTACGTGTACATTTGTACATTACATGAAGCAATATGAATGATGTTTTTTTTGCATTGAATTCCTGTTGTTGTTGCAAGTATCATTTTTAACAATGTAGGTACATGTAAATCATAATGTGGAAAAATGATGTATTGGCTTCTAATTATAACACATTTCTTATCTTGCAGAAAATTTTCATCATCACCATCTTCAGTGAACATCATATAGAAACTCTTGTGAACCTCATAGGGTAAGTATGCATGTACATACATATTCAACATGTAATACTATATATAATGCTCTGCAAGGCTCATGTACATGTACATACATGTATACAACATGTATATATAACAATCTTATTTTTCCTATGTCCAGGCAACTTCCCAAGATCGGACCGTCTTTAACAGCACCATTCCAAGACTTCCTGGAGAAGCAGAAGAAGAAATTCCACATCAAGCCTGGCACAAATGTACCCTCAGTGAGTATGGCACCAAACAAGCATGTTTGAACCCTTAGAACATGAGGTACCAAAACTGGAAGTTCTGCTGCAGTATCGTAGAAAGTTGTTAGAAGTCGCATAATCAAACCAGTCTTTGATGCATTGTTATGATATTTGGAATATCAACAAAATAAAAATTGGTTTGATTATCTGCCTTCTAGCAACTGTCTACAATGTACTAGACTCGAGAAGCGACTGATGCGTTCTTATGATATTTGGAATGCCAACAAAATTAGTCGCTTCTATATACATTGTAGAGTCTTCAGTGTTAGGCCACAAACAAAATCACACACACAAAACCACTAATTTCTTCATGAATGTAAGTAAGCTTGTAAGAGAAAAGACAGTTTCGTATGTAATCAACTTTATTGCTGTATGCTGACAAAGTTTCTTTACTTCCAGGAGACCAACTGGCTGTCTTATGTCTTTGAGAAAGTCCTGATCCTGATGATTGCATACTTTGTCCTGTCCATTGTGAACTCCACGGCACAGAGCTACCACAAACGCAAGTCAAAGGAAAACCACCACAAGCAAAAAGTTTAGCCTAGGGACTAGTAAAGTACCAGAAATCACAAACATTTAATGGCAAATTATTATGAGCGTACTACCAAGGCAATAGTTTACCTGCTACCTTGTTTCGTAGGTTCACCTCTTGAAGTGTGTTGTAAAATTACTCAAAATAAAACTGATCGCTTTAAATGAAAACTGGCCTGGATACATACAACAAGCAATGTGATTTTTTAAAAGTCAAATATCTCAGTCAGGAACCACAATACTTGCGACAGAAAACCACAATATTATAGAAGGATGCATACTTATAAATATCAGGGATTGACTCGGAAATGATTTTCCAAATTCAAAGTTACCAGTGTTGAATGGTAGATTGAAACTTTAGTTTTGGGTCCAAACAATAGTAGACAAGACTGTAGTGTAATTTCAGGTTGGTATCAAGTGGTGTAGGTTGGAGGGTAGCTGTAACATTTGTAGCCTGAAATATTTCTTCTAAGTTTTCTAAAGGTTACAGATAATACACAAAGATGACAAGGTCTTCTAGTAGAAGCTTTCAGTCCATTTTAGCCATATTTACTGTAGCTTTAAAACATTTTTGAAGCTGTTCCAGAAAAAGTGGAGACAAACTTCCCAAGAGCTCAAAATAGTAGATTGAAAGTATATGGATGGCAGGTCATCATAATCATTCAATGACATCCAATTTGTCATCTTCAATTTTTGCCATATTTCTACCTTGAATATCATTACAGAATTCCAGCACTTATCTTTAAATAACTAGTTTTGCTCCCTGTATATGTGCAATTTTTAATGATCTTTCTTTGGTGTTGAGAAGGAAGGGGAAGTTTGGTCGAATTGTAGCAGTATTGTTATTGACATATCTGTTATATACATGTATTTAGTACCAGTCAGTGAATAATTTCAATCAGTTAGTATATTATACATTTTGTAGATCATAGGAGTTCCTTGCACACTACCAAAACATTTTCAGGTATAGAAGTTCGTAGTTCTCACTAGGCTATTTGAGCATAGGGTCCCTTATGCTGCGATTTGGACACCCTACACTGTCTTTCAACTGACGTAGGGGTGCTTTTTGGGGGAGAACCTTGATAAAAATTAAACTTTAGAAAGTTATAACAACTGGAAAACATAGCAAGCAATAGTTTTTCAGAGAGAATACCAGACCCCCTGCTGTGGTCATGTCTTTTGGACTCAATGTGCAACAGGCACCACAGAAAGTTGCCCTTCTGTACCTGATCCCTACGGCTGTGAAAAAATCCTGGTGAGAACCCTGAAGTTGGTTATGTGCACAATAACTACAAGACATATTATATTAAATTTTGGTACATACCAGTGTTGTTCTAACCATTTTAAGTCATGGTAACAAAGAGTATGGAGAAAAATGAGATGCTCTCAGGCTCACTTACTGTGCCAAATAACTGAAACAAGTCTGTAAACTCAATAATTGTTCTTCAACAAGACTAAGACTAATTCAATAATACATACTATATTACAATTATAATTAATTTCAATTGTGGCTGACTTGATATTCCTAGAACATTATTTTGAAGATATTGTTGAGTTTGTCAACATGGATGTAGGTCATATTGGATGTAAATATCGTTTGGGAGAATTTTGTACACAGTTGAAGATGTGCAATGTTGTGTGCTATATACAATGTATGGTGATGTGATAATGACATATCATGCATCATGTTATGGGGCAAATTTATCTTCCATTTCTGTGTAACAGTAACTAACATACTTTCCTAGATCAGTTTGTAGTTCCTCAGGACTGCTCCATTGAATTTTTTTATGACGTGAAGTCAGAACAGTTTAGTACATGTACCGGGTACATGTACGTTTGCTATCCAAATCATCTGAGGCCTAGGAAAAAAATGTGCTTCCAGTTTCAGTCCTGAAAAAAAATTAGGGTAGGGATTATCTTTTTGTATTTTTTTTTAGACTTTGGCAATCTCTAAAAATTTATGTCCCTTGCAGGGGTCCACACAAAAAAAAGTGTCGGCAATTTTTTTTCCAGGGAAACAGGAAGCAAACTTTTTTTTCTCGGCCAAAAACTGGCAGAGTTACCAGTGTAATGAACTTAATAATTATAGTCCCTGAAGTGCTGTAGCAGTGTATTGTCTTGACAAGTGTAAGTGCCTCCTGGTCATATGCAAGCATAATGTAGTGAGTGTAGTTGGACACAGATGTGACAGTTCTATGCTATTCCTGTGCTGCCATAGCCTCCTGTACAGGCCTTTGAGCGAGTGGGCATTTTCATACTGGGTTTTGTATAATTAACGTCTTTTGCCAGCCATCGTAAAACCAACCGACTTTTGTAGGACAAACCTGCCTCATATATCCTACGATGGACGGTTGGTTGTACGATGGCCGGCAAAAAAAGCGGTAACAATCCTACAAAACCCAGTATTAAAATGCCCACCCTCTCAGAGGCCTGCACAGGAGGCTATCCTATGCTACCCATACTGTTACATGTAGGTAGTACACTGTATGTAGTTACAATAGAGGAGGTGTGTGATGGTTAATGACTTTGTGGGAATTAAGTGAGTACAAAGTATAAGGGGTTCATACAGGCATGTAATAGAACCATGTTTCAGGCAGAATTCTCACTCCAATATGACTATAATGACTAATGACCAGCCATGGGCAAGGTAGAGGTTGTAATACATGTACATGAAGCACAAGGTCTATGTTAGATCTGTGTTTCTAAAGGAATAACAAATTGTGGGTTCAGAAGATTTTTTTATTTTTAAGGGATATTAATGTTACTGTTGTGCAGGGCTGGATAGATGTGTTGCTCTGGTAGTTTTTAACCAGGGTTAACATTTTATGCTTTCTGTACAATTTAATGTTTAAGTAGTCATTTATCAATAATAATAATTTATTTGCTCTCAGAGGCTTTTGAATGTGAATTGTTAACAGGTGTTTTCTTTTATGCATTACTAATTTACATGTACCCATGTCTGAAATCAAAACTGCCCCCTCCCTAACCCTATTCATATTGTTGTCAAGCAACATGGAATAAATCTGGTGTACAGGAATACACTAAGATTGTTTTCTACTCATGAAACTTGATTTAAAAGGAAGAAGCCTTACTAACACTCAGTAAACAAAGTTCTGGAGGATTAACAAGAGGTTGGAAATCGTCATAAGCTACAGTTGTTCCTAGCACAAATGACACAGTAAGACAAGACCAGCGACAAGACAAGACATTTGACACATTTTTAAGACAAGACCAGCAATATTTTATTTTGTAAATCAGAATCCTGAGACTCAAAATCTTTAACGTCTGTCCATGCATGTCAAATTCACCAGTCCAATCCACCCAGCACCCTAAATATTATGTACATTGTACATATAAGTCATTGATGGAAAGAAGAGGTATTCAAAACTGCCCACCCTTTTTAAAAGAATGACAAACCAATATTATATACAATTTCAGGTTACGATTTATCAGAATTATATTAGTGATATATTTCCATCAAAATTGTATATTCTACGTAATAGTCTATTTATGTGAGATACATTATATATCTCATGCTTACTTTACCTTCAAGCAGTGCAAAGTTTTCAGCCTTAATTACATTGTGTACAATGTGCAATAAGTTAATTAGGGTTATCAAACATTGACATAGTACTAAGTACATGTATTATCCAGTTGTCAGATCACCAAGAAAAATGGTAGTCAATGCTTACACTATTGTTCACTGGACAAGATCATAAAAAGAAACAGCAGCTTCATCATTCAAATTTTCATATATTAAATTGATTATGTACGTTTTGCAGAATCCATGAAAATTTTGGCGAGCGGTTGCAAAACAAGTCCGAGTACAAATTTTTGTCATGTACTGGCCAAAGTCTTTTAATCTCAAAATTCTCAGTAGCCAGACCCATTTATATGTAGTAATGTCCATGGATATAGCACCTTTAATTCTAAGATATCAGTGGACACAATATGGCCCCGCATGATGATTTAAGGAAGTTTGCTATCACAATATGAATGACTGAAAATTATTATTTTCCTTCCTAGCCTAAGTGTGGAATTTTTAGTGCTTCGGTGTGCCAAGACTTCTTGTGCGCTACACTTCATTCGGTTTGATTTTACATCAAATTTAAAGCCAGCACCACTAATATGAGATTTTTGTGTAACTCATTATTTTAGACTTCAGAGGAAGTAATTACTGATAACCTGAGACATTTACAACAATGCATCATTGTTGCTAAAAGCAGAGTTTGTAGAGAAGATATTTCTTTCACTGCAGGAGTGTGTTCCAGGGAGTCCGTATCTCTGTGACTGACTTCTCACCAGCGCAGCTTGCCAGGGATGTACTTGTCGATCAGACCCTGGTAGTACGGCTTCAGGGCCTCGATGTCAGGGAGTTCATCTGCCTTGGAGTACAGGTCAAATTTGCTGCAGGAACAGACAGAACTGTTAGCCACTGTACTGTTGTAGTCTTGAATCAAGTCATTTTATGAAGATTGCACTATTATCCATCGATTCTGTAGCACCTGCCATAACACCAGCTTTGCAGGCACATGGCTCAGCAGTGGCTGGCTATTATTGGTACACTAAGCGACTTGTCACACCTAACCTTTGAACATCTAACTGCAAGCATTGTTTAAAACTATACTGTACATGTACATTGTACTTTGTTGCAATGATACAACTACATGTACTACAGTTACAGCATATCACACCATACCGTCTGTCTACTGTGACCGTTTTCTTCCAGTCCATTGAATAATTACTTTAAACAGGATTGACTGAGTGTACATAACATTTAACCACTCGAGCCAGCAACAAGGGAGCCAGCAGTAAACTGAAGAGGATAGAAACCAGGCTACATGACATTCATTGTACTGACTTGAACTCCTTGACCCAAGCCAGCATCTCCCTGTCCTTGTTGTTGCACAGATAGTCGTAGTCCCCGCTCCCGTGCCACGGGTAGAAGGAGTGGAAACGAATCACGTACAGCGCCTACAGAAAGAATGGCCCACAGGTTCAACTTTCTCCTTGTTCCTTGAACACCACTAAGTAGTTTGATGTAATTTAAAGTTAAACTAAGTTTTTATTCACTAAAGTACAGTTTTGAATTCATTGTATCTTTAGCATGTACTATATCGTCACTGCGCAATAGTAGGTATCATTCAATAAGTCACCATCTGCTTTTGCTCCAGTGTCACTGACGAAAGGTAGTGGATGTTACCTGAAACATCTGACCATTTTCAAAATCATATCCAGTGGCTTGAGTAACTGTATCTTATTACCTGGATGTCTAACCTTCACCAACGCACCATTTGGTTGATTGAGTTGAAAGTTTTGAAAATAAAATTGAGCACACTTTTTTGAGTTACTTACCTCTTCTGGCAGCTTGGTGTTGTTTCCCTTAAGGACATGGTACATGTACTCTGGGAACAAGACCAGCAAAAGGTAGGCAGTTAGAAATTATGATAAGCCTTGATCAGATGTAGTATGTGTGTATTGATTAAGTTTTATATTGATTTCAATAGTTCATAATTCTAGACTTCACACAAATCAATCAAGTCTGCTAACAGATACCTAATTAATAAGTAATTACATTGATTAATGCACAAATTCCAAGCAAATTGTTTCTTTCATGCTGGATGACAAGATGTCATTCATGCACCAAAAATCAGATCAATTTCTTTTCTAACCCCATTTTTTTACCAATAGAAATTTTGTGTAGTCAACATTGAACTACAAACTGATTGGATGGTTGCAAGGATTATTCTCATGTATAAAAATGTAGATCTGTCATAACACTAGCACCACTGCAAACAAAAACAACAACTTTCTAAAACAATGCATGAGGAAAAACAACATCCAACAGATTGGTAGTAATTATTTTGACCCGAGGCTAGAAAAATTCTTAAGTTGGTTTTGGATGTCACATATACATTGTATAGCCCTAAAAATTGCTTATTACTCAAGATATATAAACCAAAAATGGATGATGTCTAATCTATGTTGCCTCAACTTGGGTCCCTAATATGTAGTTTTAGCAACAAGATTTGGGGCAAATTGGGTAGTACCATCATGGCCCCAGGACATAAGGACTTTGTCCAAGCCACAGTTTTCCTCGTACATCCCAAGTTTGGTGCTGAAACAATACAAAAGCACATACAAAGGTTTGATATCACAAGGCAAAGCACTGAGAGCTTTATCAGCTTCTAGCAACCTCTGGCTGATTCCGTCGGTACTGCAGTCCTTCTGTCCTTTAAAATACCATGTGTGCACAATGTCAAGACATAAAAACAGCTATAATGATTTTGTATTGATCATTTTGATCCACAGATATTGCAGAGAGGTGTTACATGTAGAAGAATTTCACTGCATTTCTAAAGGAGCTGAAAGAACACCTGCACTGTGACATAAAAATAGCCATGATTTTGTGTCAACTTCATTTTAATCCACAGATATAGCAGAGAGGTGTTGGAAGACCTGTGATGCGTTTTCAAAGGAGTTTGAAGAACACCGGCAGTGTGACTAAATCACTGGGTGCCTTTGCTTGACTGCAGTTTTTTCTGCACATGCATGCACATGTGCACGTGCGCACACACACACACACACACACACACACACACACACACACACACACACATCACAACCTTCTGCAGTACAGATGACACAGTACAGATTGAAGAAGCTATTTGTTGACTATCCCCCAGACTAACTTCGCTTTCCTACCAGTCTGCAGTCTTCACTGTGATGTCTATAAACCTCAAGTCCATATCTTGTCTGGAGACTTCTTGATATTGGTGTTTGTCACAACCAGATACATTTTGTGGTGTTGACATTTACATGAACAAATATGGCATGGGACCAATGAAAATTCTTTTCTTGAATTGAATGAGAGTTTCTTGGAAAAGTTTTCCCCTGAACTATGGTACAAAGCAATTTGAGGTGAGGATTTTACTATACTACCAACTGCTACCACCAGTGCAGTAAGGATTATCTAATGTTCCGCTTCATCTCTAACATGCTAATAAAGGTCTTGACTCACCCCTACCCCAAGGAAAAATACCTGATCCAAAAATGTACAAGAAAGCTTGGATGTATTTGATCAAAATACCCTAAAGCTAATACCCCAAGCCCTTCAACCTTCAAGTATTCCCATTAGCAAGGTGTATGTGAAAGTCATCTTCAAGAATTCTTAATCGTAGAGGAAAGAAAATGGGCCTACGGCACCGAGGTAGAGCATCCGAGGGACCTAAATTCCTGACGACATTGATCAACCATGGCTTTGACTTGAGCTGAAAGTTAAGTATCTTTACAAAAATGAGTGCTCAGAGCATGAGAAGAAATCACAGTTGGCTGTTCATGCATATTGGGTACATACACTTTCTTTTTTTTTAGCTTATTTGTGTATAGACAACAATTGTAATCACTTTTTTTCACCCAACTGCGAAAATGGTCTAGCCAATATCGACAGAGATGATTGGATTGAAAGCCAGAGGGATACCAAACAGGGGCAAGCAGATGAAATATGCTTCCTCCACAGGCTGAGTTTGTGCTTGAGGCTTGAGGCTGACAACAGAAGAAACTGTCATCTGCTTTTGCGATATACATTGTAAAAAGGAGGCACAGGTAGAAGGTGGCAGGTAAGGGTGTGGCAGCTATTAGATTATTGTTTCTGATCAAGTTTGTCTGAACTTTACATGAGAATCCAGGCTTCATACAAGCAACTACACTTCATCAAGTCTATCATCAATTTCTACATCTTCAATGGTTTCTGAATATCAACTTCAAGGTATTTAAAAGAAGAATTTTCATTTTCAATTGTGGTAGACACAAATCAATGTGAGAGGCTGATGCAAAAGTTTTGAGTCATTCAGATATTTACAAAAGCATTTTACAATAGCTTGAACCTGTTTCACCAGGTTTTAGGGGTAAAATCTTGCAATATTGTAATCTTTCAAACCTGGAAGAAGCCTGGTATTCTCAAGACTCAGTACATTGTACATGTAGGGAATGGTTGCTTCTGAATTTTTTTGAACTTTTAATAACAGTTTGTCTCTTCTACTATAAACCATTCCACAATCTGTCATGGTAGACAGGCTTCTAAGACGGGCTAAATTAAATTCAAAACAGAGCCCTATCCAGGCACAGCAGTGGTGGAGAAAGGTAGTGGCAGAGCCACCTTGCACCTCTGAAGTGCCTTTGGGCAACAAGCATGTTTGTCCAAAACCAGCTGTGCCTATAGGTTAGATATCAAAACCCAGAACATATTAGAAAGTGCCTATAAGCGGTAGCAACCGTTCCCTGTACACCAACACAAAAAAGCAGTCCATGCATGTTCATACAAATTACAGCTTCAGAATCACTTTTCAGTTGTGCAATGAGAACGTAAATCCATTTTTGGAACAACGTGTATATTATCGGTACTTTCAACTTGCGACAACTTGAAAGTGAATGGGCTGGTTGGTACTTGAAACATTGTTTTGAAAATAATCGTCATTTCACAAGTTCATTTCTGGAAAATATTATAGTTTTTGTTTAGCACATCCACACCAAGCTGCAGTTTTGCCACCTTCTACTGAAAGGCCGCACCCTCAGATGCGGTACTTACTTGAACTTGGGATCCTTCAGGTCGGGATTGTCCTGGAAACTGCTGTGACGGAAGACGACAGACTCGGCGGGCAGGCAGCCGGTTGGGAAGGTATCACCCACCACACACCACTGTACGGGCAAATACAGAGGGGTTACAGTTGAAGTAAACATGACAGTTACAGCTGTACAACTTTATCATTTCACAGGAATCTTCTTGTCCCTCAGTCACTGAAATAATAAAATTTAAAACAGCCTAATGCCATACAATTTGTGGGTTTATGCTATATTCTAAAACTGCATGGTATTGTAAAAAGTTTGATTTGCATTGTAACAGTGATACAAATGTTGTAGAATAGAGTTACAATACATTCAATGCTACTAGTACTGTGTGGTGGATGTTCTGTTGAACTTAATATTATAACTAATGGGAAGAATAGAAGAGTTTATTGTCAAGACAATGAACTGACCTGTGGCTCTCCCCAGATAGCCATGATCTTTCCAGCATCGTGGATCAAACCAGTCAACTGCAGCCAGTCTAGAGGAGAGAGGGTATGCACCAAATTACGTGGTGCTAACAACTCTTAAAAGAAGCTTAGCCAATGTCAGAAATGTCTTTGAGTTTCTCTTGTTTTACTTTGGAAATGTCTGAATATATTGTTAGTCATGAGTCGTGTCACCTACCTTTGTCTGGGTGTTTCTCCCTCACACTCTCTGCTGTTTGGAAAGCATGGTAGATATTTGGAACATCAACCTAAATGTGTGAAAACATAGAACACATTCATTTTTAATCTTATGTTACAGTTATTTGATTGGCAAGGAAGATTTACAAAGTTAAAACAACAAAACTACTTGTATCACAATGATTGTAATACGATTTTTTTATGTGGCTTTCATTTCTTTTTTTGGATGGGGACTTCAGAGGTTATTTCACCCCAGATAGATTTCACAAAGAAGAAAAAATGACGAGAAGCTTACATCAGGGTCACTCTCATCTACCAGGTTGTTCAACTCCTCCAGACACTCCAACATGGTCATCTGGGCATGGTCCAACTTACACCAGTACTCCATCTGGAAATATACAGTTAGCAAATATGGTCTTACAAATTATACTGTCTCCCTTGTTCTTCAACAAGGCTTTCTTACTTTTTAGGAGAAAGCATTACAAAAATCCAAAAATCTCAAAAGGCTCTTTCAGTTTATCATTCTAGACAAAGGTAACCACAATGAATTGACTTCATTATCATTTTAGAAGTCTACCAATTCGGGGTTGTATTTATATTATATCCACATTTAGTTAGGGTCTTCTTTTGTGAATCAAGAATTTTTTCAATGTGTAATACTAACACTTTACACATGGTGAGATAAACTCCCATGGCATCAATAGATACAGAATTTTAAGATTTATAATTTTTATTTCAACACAAATAATATGCAATATTTCAAACTGTGTAGGAGAAATTCTACAGATCAAATTCCAACTGTGCCAGAGACACAGCCATGTGCATGTGTACTCGGTCAATTTTAATTACATAACATCAAAGGACCTTGTGCAACTGGGTACATAAACTTACTCTTCAAAACTGCTGACCAACATAGCATGTGACAAAAAAACGTGCTCACATTTGCAGTTCTGATAAGGCATGTTTAACTTTACCTTTGCGAAGGAGTTTATTAGTCATTGATTAAGTGGGCTACAGGTCCTCAGCCTTTAGAACCAAAAATGTGTCAACAAACCTGAACCACTAAATTACTACTGTTTGCTAAGTGGCGGTTTGTGGCAAAATGTTGGTCTGTTGTCAAATAGCTGATGGTAGCTCGAAATCATGTTGAAGTGTTTGCATAACTGATTTGTGGTCAGTGAAGCTTGAAACTTTTGTTAAAAGGGTAAAAGATCTACCCATATCTTTTAATATTTAATTGTTTCTTGCTTTGGATTCAGTCTTTTTGCGAACACCATTTTTGTATAAAATTATAAGGAAAGTGCTCCTACTACATGTAGTCCTAGTCATTTACATTATATAATTATTACAATGTACATTTTCATCCTTCTTGCTGTAGACTTGGCATGTTTGCAGGTGTACATACACATATGTATATGGACTTACTGACATTTTGCTGGTTTCTACTTGTTCCTAGCCTGGTATCCAATTTACAAAAACCTAGTATTACAGCTGTGGAACAGGTTCAGATACCAGCCTAACTCCTTCCTATCAGTATACTGGCGTTATCTTTCACCAAGCCAGGGATCCTTGTGAAAGGACATGCATGACACAGTGAGATAGTGAGTGAGCGAGTGAGTTAGCATTGTAAGTGGGGAACAAACAACATGGAGACTGTGTGACAACAGACATGGCAGATAAGGCATCAGTCCATAAGTGTTGTTTTTATTTTTTTGCTGTCAGAAATAGATTTGGGGAAGGACAGCAGCTATGTTAATTCTTTTAATTCTAATTCAACACTGCAGCTGCTTTTTTAAAAGTATGTTTTGATTCATAATACATGTATTCACCCTAAATTTTCAACATGCAAAACAACACTTAGTCTTGATTTTTCTATTTACTTGCAACCTTAGCTGCAGCTTACTCTCCGCAAAATGGTGGTCGAAGGTGGGCATTTTGAGAGCTGGTACTAGGTAGTACCGGTAAGTGTACATTGTGTAAACTTTGAGCTTCAGTTGTTCTGTATGTATAACCTCCCTCACCTTTCTCCTGACAAAGTCCACAGTCTGGTGGGTGTGCATCAGCTGGTAGGTGTTCCGGACCTGGTCTGTGTGACTGTTAGCCTATGACAACAAGACAGTAAGGTCATAAGAAAATGCAAGTAATAAGGTCATAAGAAATAATAAGGTCATAAGAAAATGCAAGAACTGGATATGATCTGTACATGCATTACTAGTTGTAACAGCATAGCAACTACATGTACATGTACATGTACATGTATATCCCAAGCTGCTACTTCAAAAATATTTGGAATCAAGGTAACCACCTTCATCATTGTTCACTGAAGGTCTCTCATACTAAAATGCTCCAGGACAGGGTAAGGGCACAGATCTCATTTAATGGGCAGAATAGATAGAAATGGTCTATAAAAATGTTCATCTCTAGACAGACATGCATATATAAAGTATTGGTGCAAGTGACAGACAGACTTACCTCTGAACTTTGGGTAGAGACCTGAATAACAGGATAATGCCATAAATCATATGTCAATCATAAGTCAGAATTTGAATTAAAAAAAAATCATTATCATCGTCATCATTCATCATCATCATCATCACTGTTCAATAGATCCCATCATTGTTATCATTATGGATCAATTATTATCATCATTGACCAATTATCAAATAGGGATTCAATGTCAGAAGAATAAAGAGAAGTCAGATGGCAGAAGAAAGTGTCTGTGAAGTCCTGTGAAAGAAAAGAAGCAACAAACGGAACACTAGCAGAGAATGAGAGGCAGAAATGTAGAGCAGTCACATCGTGATAATCACACAAAATTGAATAACTGTTCTTATCACATAAGATGGACATTATCATATTACTGGTATATACAATGCTATCATAATCATATCTGATGGACTTTGTAATAAGCTGCTTTGTTGACAAAGCTGCTGAGAATGTAGATTTAAGAAAAGAGGTTTAAACCTCCTTGCTTTATTAAGGTACAGTGTCGTCTAAAACATCCGTTTCTTTTCATAGATTAGGAGGTTGGATGAAAATCAGAGGTTGGATATCCGCTTTACTCATACTCATGTGACTAAAACGAGCAAGGACGTTTGGTGACGTAAAAAACAACAAAACATCAGTAGTGTTTACAGCCATGTTTTCTGTGTATGTCTTGGTTTCTAGTTTCTGTAATGTACTGGTGAATACCTCGAAGTTTCTGAAATTCTGATCACATCCTTCCATGTCAGGACGGAAGACGGGAGAAGGATCCAAGATCGTCTGAAACAAATAACAAAACAACAAAACATTGGAGGGGCAGCCTGTGTTGGTAACGGGCCCGTTAGTTCATGTTTGGTTTGGTCAGTTAGCGCTAGACCCACTAATCGGGCTCATTCTTTGTCCAATTTTAATTTACTGAGGCAGTGTATAACCAGATAGAAATAACTCCCTTCCCTTTCAATCGACCTTTCACCTGATTTTCAGACAAACATCTCGTGCAAGGCCGTGTGACCCCATGATCAACCTTGGAAGAACAAACCCACGGCCGCCCCCCCCCC